GGCGGGAATGTTGTGGATATGTTGTGTTCATATGGAAAAACATTATCCCGGTCATCGAGATCTCGCCTGTCAACATGCGAGATCTCGGTACACGGGAAAACGCAGTGTAACTTTTCATATTATTTTCAAAACAAGGCGAGATCTCGCTTGTAAACTTGTCGAAATGTTTTCTCGCTAACCGAGATAACTTTTCTCCCATATGAACAGACCCTTAGTGCATTGCTAAAGCAGTTCACATATTCTAGTACAGTGAGTGCGCTGATCTTGTGGGCAGTTGAAGATATTAATTTTCAGATGTATTCTATCGGGAGGATTTAGTTTTTCTTTGTACTATCTTTATCCTGTATGGTCAACGCAAATACAGGTGCTGAAGAAGGTAAAATATTTTGAAGATAACTACATTATTCAATAGTGAATTCGTGTTAAGCTGCTGTTTCAATTAAGCAATACCCTCAAATACATATAAAGTTTAATGTATAGTTCATATTGATAAAGATTTTACTAGAACAATGTGAAGGACCATATATGAATTGGGTGTGTGTGTAAGTGAATTTTGCCGAGTTATCAAGGCAGAATTTTCCGAGTCACTATACAACCACTAATTAATATTTCTTTTCCCAACATTGTTGCAGGAAGGGGGGGGGGAGCATAACGTCAATTTCCGGACAACATATTTGGCCATCTTATTTTGCGTTTAACCACCGTTGTTCGTAGTCCATTTTTTTCCTAGTTTTAATTATTAATCGGTGTCACTCATGCAACTATTTTATTTTTTCCTTCCTATCCAAATCCATATTTTGCCAACGGAAATTCAATATTTTGCCGACTACCTGATGACTGGCGGGTGTCTCCCCCCCCCTCCACACACACACACACCATCTAGCGCCGGCCCTGCAGCGGCGTGTGAGTCAGTGAGTGAAAACGAAGATAAGGCGTCTTCAATTCCCTTTACGTTTTTTATTATTATATTGTTATAACGGTAATAATGTTCCTGCAGTAAATGTAAATAATACGATTATTCCCAGGCATTTATTAATTGTCAAACCTTTTTAGCCATTTATGACATTCTCCACGAGTGTGTCTTTGTCTATAACAGCGCGATAACTCAAAAAGTATCAAATATTTCAATACTCAGTTAATTGTGGAGCTGATTGCCACAGACAAATGGTCACAATAAATCTTACCTGAAAAATTTGGATGAAAAATACTCAATGATTTAGTTTTGACAGAAAGCTGAAGTTCTGTATTATTTGCGAAATGCAAGTTTAAAGCATAATTAGTCTGGCAATCAATTCTAGTGGCAATAACGATTGCCAAGTCAAATTCGAAAAAACGTTTGAGAAAAACACATGAAAATGGGAAACAAATTGTCAACTGAATCCCGTGGCTACAATAAAATGAATTCAAAACCAAAACACAATTATTAGATTCGTCTTTGTATAACAACGAAGCTGTATAAAAACAACACACTTCATGAACAGTCAAAAATTTGAACAATCCAATATTTTACGTTTACAAAACCGCGGCGGGAAGTGAGCGCCAAAGATACGATTAAAAATTTCGCTTATCCGCAGTGTGAATATATATACTCGAGAAAATTAGCGAAGGTTCGCTTTTCTTCTCAGAAATCGTTCTCACTGGGAAGATTTTTTCCGGTGTTTTTAATGATTTTTTTATCGATATATTTATGATATTTTTGGAAGTGATATAGTGAAAAGTGGGGGAGGGGCCAATATCCATCTAGATCGGTCTCTGCATGGCTCCCTTCATTTGAGCAATTACGCGCGCCTTGTATGAACATAACATCGTCGTTATTATTCTTTTTATTATTTATAGTCTTCCTGATTTCTCCACGACCATAAGACCTCAGTTTCAGTTTATGGTTTTGTTTTATATTGTTTATCTTAAAAAATCATGTAACCTTGGTAACATACATGCCTATATGCAATAAGTAGCCTAATTAACAAAACCATACCACCAGCCGATCTTCCTGCTGTTTCTTTGAAATAGTATAAATACTGATCATATAGGATTAAAGCTAGCCAATATTTTGTTGCGTTATGGAAATGTTTGCCACCGAAAAATTAATTAAAGTGGGTATTCGTATAATTATTCTGGAATGTTCATGGTATATTAAATGCTACGAAATATCGTGATAATGCTTTGTTAATGCATTGAAAATGGGTGATGCACAAGAAGCCACTTAAGGCTAAAGAGAAAATATATACTATATATATATAGAAGCTAGTCGCGAGGAAAGTGCTATATCATGCTAAAACCCTTTTCAAAATATCTGGACCTGATTAAAAATAAAATTAGAAAACTCCAATTTCTTTTGTTGCATAATAGTAAAATTATAAAATTGTGATTATTTTAGAATGAAATTTGTGTTCAGGTACACATTCCGGCTCTGTGAATGGAATATATACAACACGATCTTAAATAAAATAATTTGGGAATGAATGTCTTCGTACTATTTACAACATGAGCGGCCGTGTTGTATCGGATATACAAACTCGAGCCGAAGGCGAGAGTTTGTATATACGATACAATACGGACGCGAATGTTATATACGACTCATCTTATGAGTTCATTGGCGAAGTAATTTTAAAAATAAACGTTGTCTAAGCCGAGAAAATCAAAGTTAAAGTTTATGTAAATCAACATGAATCTGTATCACATATACAGATACGACACGCTTATGATTTTTCTTTGTGTTTTCTTCATGAATTATTAATGAGTTTTTAATAGGATTTCTGTGATGCTGTTAGTTCTTCTGTATATGCTGATTACTGGCTTTGCCATTTGGTAAACTAAAAAGTTGTGTCGGGAACTGTCAGATAAGATTATTATTTTAATTGATTATTAATGCATGAGGCATTGATTAGGTGCAGTCAAGGTAAAGTTGTGGGTGAAATAGTCACGAAAGAGAAAGCAGAGATTAATAGTTCAACAATCGTAGTTGCATGCACTGTGACAGTCAGTGGAGAGAGAAATTGTATTGTGTGAAAGAAGGATAATAACCCGTACGCTATCTATATACGTAATCGTGATCATTGTGAACCTTTATTTAATTTGGTATATATATATATATATATATATATATATATATATATATATATATATATATATATATATATATATATATATATATATATATATATATATATAATATATATATATATATATACGTTTAAATTATCTTTTCTTGGAAGGATTCGCCTCATCTTCCTTCTATGAACTCTATCTTATACGGTTGACGCAGACAAGATTACATTATTTAATCAATCGGGCTAGGCAGCTGTTTCATGACATACCCCTAGATTTATATCAAGATTATGTATAGTCCCAAATTAAAGTACTAAGAAGGTGAAGGTGCATGACTGCATGCATGTATTGCTGGCTGTGGTAGATTGTGGGCTATATGGAAGCGTCGTTTCTTAACTATATATTCCGATAATAGGCCTAACAGTAAATTATTAACAGTATTCCGCGACGAGCGACGAAGTTTATACTGAACTACCCGAATGAAATGTCCTATACAGACAAGGCTAATTAAAACAAACCTCCTTCCATTAGAATTCCGCCGAGAGATCTCCGACCTAGCTGTTGCTGGTTTTCAAATCAAAAACCGGACTAATATCTATGGATGTCAATAACTATTTATGCACCTTCGAACCAGGCTATAAATCACGACGCAATTAACTAATTACGACGAAAACAATTTCAACTTCCTGATTAATAACAAACAGGACTACTTTAGGAACTCTTTTTTACAAGATCAGCCAACCTATAGCTGTGGAACGGTCTTTCATCAGAACTGAAATCCGGTCATTATAACTCTAGTATATCCATATTTAGAGCCAGGCTACCGGCTACGCGAGTTCTATAATGCTAAATTACCATCATATAGTCCTCATGCATGGCTGTATCTAAGTGCAAGTCTTTTCTCCAGTCACGTCTATGTTTAGTGTGTTATCTTGTAAGAATGTTGTGTTAGTGTTGCTTGTTTGCTAGTATACATTTTTTGTATATATCTATATATGAAGGTGACGAAATTAAATTAAATAATACAATTATTTATTTTTATACGATCCTATTAAAAGTAGACCTCTGGACATTCCACAGCAGGTCATATTTTCATCTGAGCTTGTTTTAGGATTTGTGTATTTCTCTGATAGCGCCATATTAAACTTAAAAATATAAAATATTTTAATATAGCTGCGAACATTCGTGGATCATCGTTCTTTATAATTATCAAGACCTCTTTCGGTTTATGGGTTTGTTTTACATTGTGTATCTTAAAAAATCATCTAACCTTGGCAACTTACCCTTATACGCACATGCTATCAAATCGGGTTTGCTATACCGAAGTTGGTCATGCATCGTCTTAAAACTGCCCGTTGTATCTGGATACATCCGGAAACATGGCTTGCATGCATGTATAGCGATGATAATTATAATTGAACTTTATGGCTGCGGTATGTTTATTCATTATTGAAAAGAATGTAATGAATAGCAAATACTCTATAACATGGGCAGTGTATTGTAAGAAGCACTGTAGACTTCAGAAGAGCGGTAAAACACCAAGCAAGGTTCAGAGGGGTCTCATGCATGCATGAGTTAGAATCGAATGGCCGAGTTATAAAAGCGCGACTCACATGCATGCAGTCGGAAATGGGGGATTCCCCCAAATCTATCGTCTTTAAAAAATACTCCTTCATTTATTTTAGTTAGGCCAATTTTACGGACTTCCAACGGTCAAAATACCTGACAAAATTACTTGTAAATTTGCATACGATCCTCTTCATTTTATCACCTTGCTCCATGCAAATACCGTAATGAAATTCACTCAAACATCCGGGGATATATTTCTCACGCGTTTCTTTCGCTCCCCTTCCTTGAATATAGTCGTCAGAAAAAATATTTCTTAATTTTAGAATATAGGCCTAGATGATTATACGAATTTTAAAAAGATATCATTACACTCTGCTCTAATCATGTTTGATTTTGAACTTGATAAAGTATATACATTAATACAATTTATAGATGTCGACAGATATTGCCTGGCCGGTCCGGAGGCACTTGGAATGGAGAATGGAGAGATTGAAGATTCGCAGATTACATCATCAAGCTTTATACCCGGAATGGAACCATCGAAGGGACGATTGAATGCCGGCACCGCCTGGGTAGCATCTTCTAGAAATAGTAACCAATGGATTCAAGTTTGTGTCAACGAATCAGTAGTTTTCACAGCAATTGCCACTCAAGGTATTGGGGATGAATATTCTCGTGTAACTTCGTATGCTGTGTCTTATAGTTCTGACGGAGAAACCTTTCAGGTTTACACAGTTACTGGCACTCGAAAGGTAAGATGATAACAGAGTAAGTTTGATAACAGAGTAAGATTACAGATGTTAACAGGGTAAGTGAAATAAAAACCTTGGGGGTTGTGGTAGATGACCAGCTTCTTTGGAAAAATCATGACGCTACAATTGCCAAAGTTTCAAAAGGAATCGGTATGTTGAGACGAATGAAACCTTACGTACCGAAATTTACTTTAATGCATGTCTACAATGCCCTAATTCTGCCTCATTTTGACTATTGTATAGTCTTGTCTGGGATACATGCAGTAATTATCTAATTGAAAATTTACAAAAATTACAGAACAGGGCTGCAAGGGTCATTTCAGGCAAATCGTATGAGATTAGATCGTGACTATCGTGTGAGATTTTATCAGAACTTGGTTGGCGGCCACTGCATGGCAGAACGAATGAAATTCAAAACGGCAAAGTTCATGTATAATGTGAAAAACAATAATCTAAATGAGCCTATGGCAGATATTTTTGAAATTAGTAACAATGAATTTCATAATTTGCGAAGTAATGCTGTTAATTTCCATATTCCTATAAGCCTAAACCCAATTTTTTTTAAAAAGTATTAGCTACTCTGGGCATAACGATTAATCAATTTAAAAGTATTCTTGGTAGCCAATGCTGTTTCTAATCTTGATTTGTTACTTTGTGCTGAAGGGCTACCGTTTTTAAATAAGTTTAAATAATAATAATAATATAACCAGAGCAGGTCTTAATTTGCAGCGCGATGCTCAAACAAAATTTTGCAAAAACAGAGACTTTATTGCAGTGAAAAGGTCTAGCATGCAGTGAGTTTAGTCAGTTTTTGTGATGGTTATGTTTGCATGTCCTGTAACTTTAATACTCTCTTAACTTCTTCCTCTAAAGGTGTTCCCAGGAAATACTGACGGGAATACGGTTGTGACGAATACTATCACGCCACCAATAACTGCCCGTTGTATCCGGATACATCCGGAAACATGGAACGCGAACGCATACATAGCGATGAGAATTGAACTTTACGGATGCGGTATGTTTATTCATTAATGAAACTGAATGTAATGAATTATACCAAATACTCCATAAAATGGGCAGTGGACTATAAGAAGTACCGTATATAAACTTGTGAGGAGCGGCAAAAACAAAGCAATGTTCAGAGGGCTCCCATATATATGCAGGGTTAGAATCGAACGGTCGAGTTATAGAGGCGCCAGACTCACAGTCAGAATTGGGGGATTCCCCCAAAACAATTTAGAAACCTATTGTCTTTAAAATGCCCCTTCATGTACTTTTATATATAGTTAGGCCAATTTTAATGGACTTAAATCCAATGCTCAAAATGCTAGACAAAAGTTGTAAATTTGCATGCGATGCCTCTTTATTTTATCACCTTGCGCCAAATAGCCTACCGTAATCAAAGATCCCGGCGGGGAATATATTCCCCACACTCCTTTCTTTGTCTTTTTCAGAGAGTTACTTGAAATATTAAATATTTCTAAATAAGTACAAGATAATTCTATGAATTTAAAAAATTACCTGCTCTAATTACTTGATTTGCGTTATTTCTAAGGAACTCATGAAAATGCTATATATGATAATTGTGTCGAAGCGCATCAGAAAGCTTGCCAAGCGTAAGTATATATCACCTTTCATTTCCTTTTATTCAAGAATTATATTTTATGAGAATTTTAACACAGCACAAAATAGCTCAGTATCAAAATGAATATATTCAAATTTAGTGGCAAGTGAGACAGCGATCAGCGAAACCATGCATGCACGCAGCCCTGTAGCTTATATAGATTCTCTGACTCATAATAATATTGTGAAATCGCAGGAGATGAGATGCCTAACAAATCGAAAACCATTAAACTGTAGCTTCTATAAACGTATATGGAGTATTTGGAGTACATCTAACGTTGAACTTTGTATACAGATGATGAAATTGTAACCTACAGTACAGTACTATAGTGCCATATTTGTATCTGATTCATCATTATATATATATATATATATATATATAAGTTTGTCTTCTAATCTTATTAGCTCTACTATACGGTATTGAGCGTAATATAGTTTTTCGTTTTACCTCAAAAAACCACAACAGTCTGTTTCATCCGTATAGGAATCAGGTAAAAATATATAATATATATATTATATATGTATAATATATATATATATATATATATATATATATATATATATATATATATATATATATATATATATATATATATATATATATATATATATATATACATACCAAATATGTATTTAGAATCATATATGAGTAGAGTGCTCGATATACCGAAGTATAGAGCTAATATAGATAAAGATAAAATAAACCTGGTTTACTTCATAAGATTTATTCACTACAAACTTGTTTCGTATGACAAGCAATGCTTGCCACACTCATCCAAGCGATGAGTGTGGCAAGCATGATGAGTGTGGATGAGTGTGGATGAGTGTGGCAAGCATTGCTTGTCATACGAAACAAGTTTGTAGTGAATAAATCTTATGAAGTAAACCAGTTTTATTTTATCTTTATCTATATATATATATATATATATATATATATATATATATATATATATATATATATATATATATATATATATATATATATATATAGATATATATATATAATATATATTATATAGATATATATATAGATAGATTATATATATATAGATAGATTATATATATATAGATAGATTATATATAGATATAATCTATCTACACAGCAAAAAATCATTTTCTTATTTTAAGAAAAAAAAAACTTGTTTTAAGAAAATTTTCTTGAAATAAGAAAATATTTTCTTGGGAGAATAACAA